TTATTTACTTTTTATTTATTTGTTTAATCTGTGTAAGGTTGTTAATAAAGTAATATACTCTAGAGCAGCTCTGAAATAACTTTAATTCAAGTTAAAATAAGTTAAAAATATGCAAAATATATTAAAATAAAACTGAAATAAACTGGAGCAGTTATAAGCAAATCTAAAGTAGCTTCAGAATAAACTCAATCTAAGTTAAAGTAGATTAAAGAATATTTTAATTCAAACTACTTTAATTCAATCTATTAACAATCCTAATTTAAACTCTTTGCATATGCAATTTATCTTGTATTATAGAAACATCTTTAAAATTAAACTTATTTAAAGTATTTAATATATTAATATTGTTATAGGTGAAAGCCTTTTTAATTTTCATACTATAATAATGACACAGTACAGGGAGTCTCTTATAGGTATATGCAATATCCAAGAGAAAAATATAGCTTCTGTTAGACATTGTCAAGAAACTATACCCTTCTCTGAGGCAGTTTAGAAAAAAAAATACAATACTAATAACTTTACTTTATTTTACTAAGAGAAGATAAACTTTGTCTATAGAAATTACCTTAAGAAGAAATATCAATACAGTTTATAGTCAAAAGCTGTTTATTAATATAATAACAAGAAGGGCTATCCTTAGGTTTCTGTTTCTAAAGAATCCTAATATATGTTTATAATATTAAAAAGAAGTAAAGTGTTTGTTGTTTAATCATACTTAAAGAATTTAGCAGGGTTTATATAGCTGTAAGCTAAGCAGCCAAGCAACTAAGCAATTAAGCAACTAAATGACTAAGCATTAAGTAACTAAACAACTAAGTGACTAAGCAACTACTTGATTACTAAGTAACCAAAAGGTTCTAGCAACTAATGACTAATAATTACTAAGAAATACTTACTAAGTAACTAAGCAACTAAGCAACTAAGCAACTAGGCAACTAAGTGACTAAGCAGCTAAGCAACTAAGTGACTAAGTAACTAAGTGATTATTAAGTAACTGAAAAGTTTTAGCAACTACTAGTATAGTCGACCCTCTCAAAACTGATATGCATAGTAGATAGGTTTTGTATCAGTTTTGGCAAGTTATTGAATTTGAAAAATATCACGTGATGGGTTGACCTGAATCAGCTAATCAAATTACAGGATTGAATGTATCAAAAAATTTTCAATCACTACATAACTATAAAGTAAATTCATGTATGTACATATGTACATACTTAGCTAAACATAATGCATAATGTGATATCTCTAGCTGCTAGTAAGTAAATTAGTACTATATGACAGTATGGATTTGAATAGACATATCAGATTCTTGATCATACGTATGTATAGTTAATGCTGGTATTGTCATACATAACATAATTTCTACATATCCTACTAAGCTACTTTAAATTTATTAAAAAATATCAATACATTTTTTAATTACTTGATAATGCCATTCTATGGCAATATACAAATAGTAAAGCCAATATTATGCAATTTTATAAATTGCTCTATTAAGCAGTTTATTATATATTGCCAAACTCTGAAAAAAAAAAAATTCAAATAAAAACTTAGAACTTAAATCATAGGATTGATAATAAATATCTAAATTTAGCCAATCCTATAAAAAAAAACACAAGAATGGCATTGCATTTTTCTGGTACTATAGCTAAGATTGGCATTGGTCACCCTTAAAAGTTCAATAATTATAAATTCCAGTTTATAGAAGTTGGTAAATATTTCATATTTTTAAAATAAGTGTAATGATAAATTAAAGTGTAATAGGTTTTCATGTTAAATATAACTATTCACTTTCATATAAGTGCTGCTAGGAGAAAAAGGCATCTTCATTTTTAAATTAATTTAATTGATTAACAAATGGAAGTGCTCTTTTCTCTTGGCAGCACTTATATATCTTCAGTTAAAAATTAGCATACTAAAATATTAGTCTGTACAAGTATATAATTATGTCTTATATTTTAGAGTTAAAATTTTGAAAAAAAACTATATATTAGTACTTAATAATAAATCAGATTTTATAAAATCTTAAAATAACAGAATAGGCATTATAGACAGAAGTTTGTCTAATTGCTAATAAATTCAAATTAATTTTATATTATTTATACAGTTTAAAGTACTTTTTAGAAAAAATAAAACTATGAAGAATAAACAAAAAAGAAATATATAAAAAGTTTTATTAGGGTTGTAGAACTTCACCATTAAAAATAAACTCAATCAATTCTGGTTTTTGAGAAGGTAGCATAATAGCGACTTCTTAATAATAGGTTATTATCATGCTAACTTCTTTAAAACCAAAATTGATTTGGTTTATTTTTAATGATAGAGTTCTATAACCCTAATAAAACTTTTTATATATTTCTTTTTTGTTTATTCTTCGTAGTTTTATGTTTTCTAAAAAATACTTTAAATTGTATAAATAATGTAAAATTAATTTGAATTTATTAGCCAATCAAATAAACTTATGTCTATGAAGGTGGATATCATTCTAACATTCGAATCTTTTAAATAGCATATTTAAATACCTGTGAACCTCTTATAAATTAAAAATATCAGTAAATAACATGATAAAAATCAAGTTTTAAAATTTATAATTCATCTGAATAATGCAAATACTGTATGCATATTGTAGATAACATAAGGTACTTAGTATTTTGAGATTTTTGATAAATTGAAAATAGCAAAATTATGTAATAAAAAATTATAATAATTTTGTAAATAAATAATAAATAAATATTTAAATTAACAATATGGTAGCTTACATTGATGATTTTTCTTGTTAAATTTTTGTTTTGACTTAATAAAATATTTTCTTTATTTTATTATAATTATGGGGAAAAAAAAGATAAGATCATTTTAGCTGGCAATTTGCGAAATGATCAAAAAAAATCAATATGTAATCATTATTATACCAATTCCAACTTTACTCAAAAAGAGCTTGCAAAGTAGGCAAAAAAAGAATTCAATCTATTAAAAGCCCTAGCTTAAAGTACAATTTCTGAAATTTTGAAAAGAAAGAAAGAGTTTGAAACAATGTCTACAAGCGATCTTGGAGTTAAAAGATGCCATGTTGTTATATTCCCTGAATTAGATATTGTACTGACAAATTGGGTTTTACAATGTGCGGATCAAGGTGTATGCCTAAATGGAGATATGATTAAAGCCAAGGGAAAAAAATTAGCAGATTTAATGAAAATTTCAGAAGATAACCATCCAGAGTTCTCAAATAGATAGTTACAAGCTTTTCAAGAAAGACACAATTTTCATAACTTTAGGCATCATGGTAAGAGTGGTTCTGCTAATCTTGAAGCTATAGAATTAAACCTTCTCATTATTATTTGCAAAACTAATAAATATTCTTTAAGAGATATTTATAATATAAACAAGACTAGATTGTTTTATTCTATAGCTCCTAATTATACTATCGCATTACATTAAATTGAAGAGGCAAAAAAAATTGTATCTGACTTATAATTGCACTTATATCAAATGCTGATGACATGCACAAGCTTCAATTCTTTATTATTGGTCATTCTACAAAACCTAGATGTTTTAAAAAAAACTGGAAAAGAACTTGGGTTTTATTATCAAAATAATTTAAAAGCCTGGATGACTGCTAAGTTTTTTCAGATAATAATTATAGGTTGAATATTGGGTATATACTAGGAAGACAAGTCTTCTAATACATATCTGATAGCCTACTATAGATTCACGAATCTATAGCAGACTACTGGATATATATCAAGAGACTTGTCCCTCAGTATATACCCAATATTCATTAATTCAATCTGTGAATGCAAATCAAAAATTGTCTAATTAGTAAAGTTATTAAATATATATATATATTTTTTTAGGAATGGATTGAAAATTTTGACAAAGAAATAAGAGAGTCAAATTATCATGTTTTACTTATCTTGAATGGTGCCTCTTCACATGTTAGTGGTGCTATTACTCTAACTAATATAGAAATGCTTAAGCTGCCTCCAAATGTAACATCTAAGATACAGCTAATGAACGCTGGTATCATTGCATCATTTAAGCTTCATTATTGTTGTATGCAACTTGAACATGCAATTGATCAAGATGAAGCTAAAGAAAGCAACATATACAAAGTTAATTAGTTGCAAGTATGAGATAGGTAAAGGTTAGTATTAACATTAAACTATATTCAAATATTTTTAAAAAAATTTTAAAAATAGTTCAAATATTAGGCCATACAAATTTAATTTCTTGGTTTTTATAACATGTATCTTTTAAATTGTCCCAGCCAGCTGGCTTTTTTTAAAAAATTTCTTATAGCTATTTTTATAAATACTGAAACAACTGATAGAAATTGGTTGGCCAAATTTGATAAGTTTTAAATTCAGTGTTTTCAATACTACTGTAATGCCTAAATCCAATACTGATAACACCAAATTCAAAAACTTATCAAATTCTGCAGAGACAATTTTATCAGTTGTCTCAGAATTTATGAGAATAGCTATAAAATCTCATCTGGTTATTACAGCTGTTCTCAAATTCTAAAACAACTGATAAAAATTGTCTTGGCCGAATTCGATAAGTTTTTGATTTCGGTGTTATTGGCATTGGATTTTGGCATTACAGCAATGTTGATAACACCGAATTCAATTATTATCAGGCAACTTTATCATTGTTCCAGATAAGCTGTAAAATATACAAAAAATTTTTTTCAAGTTATGAAAACCAATTGATTAATTTTTGTAGCCTTATATGTTCAATTAAAGATTTGCTACATTTATAATTTTTAATTAGTCAAAATATTAATAATAATAAAGATTGCCTAGAATGAAGTATCTGCTAGCACAATCAAAAATTGCTAGTTTCATATAAAAATTGTATCTTTGTGTGATGAAGATGGAGCACTAATTGTCCTACTACCTCTTATTAAAAATGTGGAAGAAAGCTTGTTTTTTGATCATAATAATGAATTAGCTATTAAAGAGCTTTAGCAAACACTAGATGCATTGCATATTCATAATCCTATGGCAATTGAAGATTTGTTAAACCTTGAGAAAGAAAATATAGAAATACATCAACAATTTAATGATGATAACTTTATTCAAGCTGCTACAGAAATAGACCATGTAGAAAATGAAATCATTATACAACCCTTAACCAGAAAGGAACAGTTGAATATTCTGCATAGTGCTCTGCAAATTGTTGATAAAAGAATTAATAATAATGGAGTTACAATGAAGTCTTTGCACAAGCTTTAATCCTGTATTCATAAGAAGGTCCAAAAAGAAGAGGCCAAAAAACAGGTTCAATTAACACTAGATCAATTCTTTTAAAAAGGTAAGCTTCACAAAAAAAAAAAAAATTATAACTTTGATTTCATGATAAGAATATAGTAAACAAAAATATTTTAAATAAATAAATAATCAGTCACTTATTAGTATAGAACATTGATTATATCTTGCTTAGCATTTAACTAGAGAATATATAAAATAAAATAAAATTTAAGCTCATTTTTGACATGATCACTAATGTAAAATTTGTGTACTATAAATGGCCAGTACCTGGTTCAATATAGTTCATGCATGGTCATAAGTTTTAAAGCCTTCAATAATATATAGCTGATAGTAAATAACTAAGTTTACAGAAAGATTTGAAATGCCATATAAATTTGACTTGCAAAGAACAGTTTATCCCAGATACCTGATATGTACATGATAGTGAATTTTATGCAATTTTATTGAATACTGTTTACGTAACATTACTTAACAAATCAGAAACTTAGATATAAAGACTATCGATTATTGAAAATTGCAGGTTATCAGATATTAATTAAGAAACAGACATGGTGGCTTGATTTTTAACCAATTATAGCAGATTATCGATTTTAACAGGATTGGTTTTGGGAGGGTCAACTGTAATAATAATAATACAATAATAAAATAACTAATACTAAATAATAATAATAAAATAATAATAATAACTAATAATAATAAAATAATAATAATTCATTTTATAACATTTTCATCTTTTTTAAAAATTTACTTTGCAAATTTTATATTCAAATTGATTCAAAAAGTTGGATGTACTCATCATCTAGCAACTTAATAATATGCATTGCAGTCACATACTTTACTGCAAGGTTATTTCTTTTAATCTTAACTCAAGAACTTTATATATTTCAAGAGCACTTTTTCAAGTATCTTTTGCTCTTTTTGTTACTTGAGCATTCTGGATAAGGTTTTAATCTCAGAAGGATTATTGAACTTAGAGATTGTTTGTCCTAAGTAATAGTAAGCTTTAATTTTTTTGTTAAAATTATGTAAGTATGTCTAGGAGTGGATAAGAACTTTAAGATTTGATTAACTTGTTTTTTTCTTGTTTTTTTCAGAAAAAAAGTTGGTTATACTTCGAGTTGTTGGCATTAGTGTTTGTTTCAAATTATTTATTATTTGAGTTAGATAATTAGTATTATTACTTTTTAACTCTGTGAGTACTTTATTAAGTAAAGTTTCAATTAGAGAAGGTTGTATCTCTTTTAATTGTAGAAATTCATCAATATTGAATTCTACAGAGGCTCTATTACAGGATTTAAGTTGATAACTTTTTCTGGTTCTTTATTACTCCAAAGAATAATATTTTGAGATGATATATCTAAATAATTTTGAGATGCAAGGTTCTGTTTCCAGATTTGGAGAAAGTTGTTTAAAGTGATTAATTACTGTTTTTGGTTATAATTTTAAGAATTCTATTTTTAGAAAAATTTGTATAATTTAAGTATTACAATCTTTAAATAAATTGTAACATTAAAACATTTGTATAATATTATTGTCTTTTCTTCTAGTTTTAGAAATTTCTTCTAGAAATTCTAGTTATTCAATAAGAACAAAAAATTTCTATATTTGTTTTTCATAATATTTAGCAAGATGATCACTATTATAATATTTTTGCAATATTTTTTTTTTGTCATTACAAAGTTTATAGGCACCATTGTTCAATTTTTCTTAAATAATAAATAGTCAAGTTCTTTTATTTTCAAATTTAGCTGATTATAAATGTTCTATATCCTTTCTAATTATCTATACTTTGTTATCAATTTTGAATGTTTCATTATGAATCTTGGCATCAAAGTATTTCTTCTGTTTCTGTTGCAATTAATTAGTTTTTTTTTTGCATTATTCTGCAATTCAGATAGTTTGTCAATAAGCTTAAATGCTCACTGCAATATACTATCTTGTAAGCCATATTCTGTTTCTTCATTAGGTTTGACAGGTAGTAAAACTTCAATTAGAAGAACAGTTTGTCATCCATATACAAGCTGAAAGGAAGTATATTCAGTTGTAGTATGCTTCTTTGTTTGATAATAAGTAGTATATATAAGTCCCAGTTATTATCTCTTTTTACTTTAGTAAGTGATTTATATAAAGTTCAATTAAGATATTTAAATATTCCATTTATTTGTAGATGGTATAGTGAAGAAAACTTATGTTTAATAAGAAACTTTTTACATAGAATGTAAACAGTTTTACTAATAAAATTTCTTCTTTGATCAGAAAAAATAATCTTTGGTGTTTCATGTTAACAAATAATTTCTTTAAAAATAAACTAAGCTAAGGTATTTGCTCCAGCATTAGGTATAGTACAGGCTTCTGGTTATCTTGTTAAATAGTCAATAGCAACAATAATATATCAATTATTTTGTTTAGTAATTGGCAAAGGTTCTACTAAATCAATTTTAATTCATTCAAAAGCTTGTCTTATTTGAATAAGATAAAGAGGTTTAGTTTGTTTGCCTTTTAGTCTCTTTTAGCACTCTTTAGATGTTCTACATATTCTTGTATATCTTAATACATTTGGTTCCAATAATATCATTCAGTTATTTTATAGTATATAGCATCTGTTCCTAAGTGTCCTGTAGTAGGATGCTTATGCATCATATACAGAATAGGTTCTACTTCATTCTATTTGATTATACAAAGAGAGTACTGAGGGTTCTTTTTATTTTTCTTATATAATAATTTTTTCTTGATAATAAAATATCTAGTATAATGTTGTATTTGTTTAATCTGTTCCTAAAATAGAGAGTCAGATAACTTGTCTGATTTTATATAATTATATAAATTATAATAAAGGTTCAAATTTATGAGAAAGAGTTTTGATATAAGATCTGTGTTTGAAGTCAAGATAGAGCATCTACATTAAAGTGAACTCTTCTTGGTTTATGGATAATTTCAAAGTTATAGGACTGAAGTTTTAAATTCTATCTTCCTAAATGTCCTTTAGATTTAGCAGATTGTAATCACTTAAGAGCAGAGTGGTTAGTGATTAGAATAAATTTGGCAGTTTTAAGATATTTATAGAAATGTTCAATAGCTCATACAACTGCAGTACATTCAAGTTTAGTGGCAACATAGTTGACTTTTCTTTTGATTAAGCTTTTACTTGCATAAGCTATAGGGTATTTCTTTTTGTTTTTATTTAATTAACTAAGAGTAGCTCCGAATCTATGATAAGAAGCATTAGTAGCTAAGATAAATAGTCTATTAAAGTTAGGATACTTTAATATAGAGGCTGTAATAAGTCTCTGTTTTAATTCTTTAAAAGCTTCCTGTTGTGGTTTGTTCTATCTATAAGGAGTTTCTTTACATAGTAGCTAGTTTAAAGGCTATGCTACTTTAGAGAAGTTATAGATAAACTGTCAATAATAACCTACTAGTCCCAAAAATAAACATAGTTAAGATATATTATTAGGTGGTTGAATCTTCTAAACAGCTTCTATTATTTGAGAATCAGGTGCTATTCCAATAGAAGTAACTATATGTCCTAAGAATGATAGACTTTGCATTTAAAAGTTACACTTTTCTAAGTTTAATCATAAACTGGCTTTTTTGATTTTAATAAAAGTTTGTTGTAAATATTTTAAATATTTATTAAAAGTCTTGAAGTATACTATAGTATTATCAAAGTAGACTACTACAAATTTCTATGCAATTTCTTAGTATACTCTATTTATTAATCATTAGAAGGTTGTAGATGCATTACATAGTCTAAAGAGCATTATATTAAACTCATATATACTACCAAGTTACAAAAGCAATCTTTTTTTATCTGTAGGATGCATAGCAACTTGCCAATATTCACTTGCAAGGTTAAGTGTAAAGAACCACTTGGATCCTTTTAAGGTGTTAAGCATTTAATCAATGCAAGATAAGGAATAGGCATCTTTCTTGATAATATTATTAAGTTTATAATAGTCAATACAAAATTATAATTTGCTATTTTTTTTTCAAACTAATACAACTGATGAGATCTAGAGACTAGAGAAGAGTCATATAAGTTCATTATTAAGCATTCATTAGATTTCTTTTTTAAAGAAAAATAAGATCAAGATCAAATAGAAGATTCTTCTTCTGTATAGATTTAGTGAGTTACAAGATCAGTACATTTTAATTCTGTTGTATCTTGTGCAAAAAGATCTAAGAACTCTATCAGCAGCTTGCTAAATTGTTTGCCTTATTTAGCATCTAGAGATCCAATGTTTAATTTAAATAGTTTTGGACTAACACTATATTCTTCATAAGGAATTATAGTGTCGATTGTAAAAACTTGATGCACATTGTCTGATTTAACAGGTAGTTTTTCATCTTGCCTAGGATGATCTAAAAATTTAACTCTTTTTATTTTTGAGCAAGAGAAGTATATCATTGTTGAATGGTCTGAGCATCCTGTTAAAATACTTGTAGGAGAGTTTGAATAAATCTTTTTAACTTTTTTACCTTTTGTTGAAGCTGTAAAATAAGTTAGTTCTAGGTTTTGACTTGTTGTTGTAGTTGTGCAACTTGTGGTTGCAAGAGGTTTAGTTCTGGTAAGATTGCATTGGTCTCATTTGCCAAAAGGTCTACTGGTTTTGGCATAGGAGGTTCATAAATAGAGACTGATAGAAAAGTACAATCTTGACAATATTCTTGATAGGCATCCAATTTATTTTGTTGCTTAACATGTAAGCATTCTTTACAAAGATCAACAGAAGCACTAAACTGTCAACAAAGATTAGTGATAGCAAGCTAATGGTCAAATTCTGGATGGCTAATGTCAAAAGACTTAGCCAAGATTTGTTAAAAAGGTTGTTCTTCTTCTTTATCAAGGACAGCTTGTTTAGCTCATAGAATAAGATTCATTTTTTCATAGGTCTATGGTTAATTAATTTGATTATTTACTTGGAATTTCAATG